GTTCTGGGCTCTTCTCCTGACTGCACTCAGTGATAAGGGTCTTCTAACGCCTTTGCCTTTGAATAAAGAAACTTAAAGACAAAGATTAATCTTTCTCTTATTATCGAAACAGCTTCTCATTCTTTGATAATGACATTTCCATAACAAGATAGAGTTGTCTACAGCTCATGTGGCCAAACCAGCCGAGGAGATGAAAAGTTAAAACTCGAGTTAAAATGTTTAGTTTTAACATTTTAACTCAACAACCTCACCTCTACCAAACTAGAGGTTGTAAACAACCTCAAGTTGGGTAACCCCAAGTTCTTCTTAAAAGGTAGAGTGTTTGAGAACGGTTCTTAAAAATATAGTCAGTGTTTTCAGGAAAGTTAAGCTGACTGTCCAGGAACGACTCAAGGTATTTAAAATTTGCCACAGTTTTGACAAGTTGGCCATCCAGTGAAACTGAAATCATTTTCAGTTCTTGTTTATCTCACTTAATTAGCTCTACTTAAGAAAATGAAAAGGTATGTTCTTTTGTGAGGGGATTTATCTTTTACTGTTCCAGTAATGCAAGAATCAATAATAAGTAATAAAGACTTTGTGGTATTCTGATTTAGTAATGTAATTAGATTAGTTGTGCTACCAGCCCCATGCCACTAGAGGCAGTGACAAGCCCGAAAAGATGCGACTAAGGAGCAGATTTAGAAGTACACCGAAAGCTACAGAATTTGCTAAAAACTGAGCTGCGCTGAAGTAAATAAAGAGAGAAGCTCAAATACATTCTTAAGAGTGAAACTCCTTCCTAGGGTCCGTCTCCGCCCCTTTTTGTTTGCTGCAGCCAGGTGTACTTCCCTATTTCCGTCCTTACTCTGTGTCCGTATCCAGGCGGACTTTGGCGAAATGCATTACCCACAATTCATTGCTGCACGTGATGCATTCAGTTAAAAGACAGATTTATAGCAACGTTTTATGTGCACTTCAACTCAGTCCACACTTCACAGAGGGGCATAGGGTGCAGCCCGAGTATCGGGACTGGGCTAATAGCTAACGCTATCATCTGAGCCATAGCCATAGCTATGCGACTTTCTCTTGAGTTTCACTTTTGCTGTACTGAAGAAACTGTAAAGTAATTTTAGTTCCGCTTTGAATTTTCTGCTTTGAGAGTGTCATAAAGTGGTAGGTGGTGAGGAGAGACGCAAAGACCCAGGTTATGGTGAAGAATGATGGATTTAATGATGAAGCTCAATAGTTCAAAACAGGCAGCACGGCGAGAGCGGGGTCCTGATGGCTAGTTCCTGGAGCTTCAAACGCCGGCAGGCACAACCTGCAGCGAGATGAAGGGAATCCACGGGAAGGACCAGGGAGGTGAGTGCACGAGGATGGCAACCGATTAGTAACACCAATGGCGTCGTGAGGAAACACAAGGGAAATTCCAGACGGGAACAAACGTCCACCACAAGGAGTCTCCGGGGAAAAATGAGGAAACCTGACAGAGAGAACACAAGGAGCGATCAAAGCGAGTTCAAATGTAGAAGGCTTTCACAAGAGAAACGTTTACCAGTAGAGGCAAACACTCAGGCACTGGAGTGTCAGCTAGTCGCTCCGTATGAAGCCCCTCAGCAGCGTAAATTAGACACAGGTGTGTCGATAGGTTGTCCACCGCAATTCTCCAGGGGCTCCGCCCAGTGGCGGCATCTGGTGGCTGCGAGGGGAAGTAGCAGCTTCCCAGAAACCCAGGACAGAACAGAAGGAAAAAAAGAAACACAAAAACTTTGTGACAATATTGCATTTACTGTTTTTTTATGTATGTCTATCTGAGTGACAGGCTGCCACAGTTTCAACAGCAGATGTCACGAGTGAGAAATGAATGAACCACTGAGTAACGAACCTTTGGGCGAAGCAATGGGCTGGGAAGCTTCACTGCTTCACAAGGCTTCATTTGGCCATCAGTGCTCCATGTGTTTCCGTTCCGCTGTGCTGAAGAAACTGTAAATTTGTTTTTTTGCATAAATGCATAATAAATAAAATATTATTGAAACATTAATTAATTTTAATAACTTAATTCACCTGAGTGAAACACAGTTTATACTATAACTCCCATCCAGGCAGAGAACGGACACAAGGCGTTCTTTGATAACTGCTGGCATTTAATAACTATGCCGTGAGAACTGTAGAAAACAAAATATATTTTTACAGAAAGAAAGACATTCACATAAAGAATAGACAGCTACTACAAAGCAAAACATTTACAATAAAGTGGCTTGGCTTACAAAAAACAGACTCATTACGTCATCTTTAAAAACATGTGGCTAACAAACTCGACAAATTCTTAAAATAAACATCCTATTTACAAACAAAACTAAAATCCAAAACTTGGCCGCTTCAACCTGAAAGGGTTAATACAGAAACTCTGTGTTGCCTCTTCTTTGCAACCCAGCTACACGAACCTTGGTGCACGACCACATGTATCCATTTATTAAGAAAAATTAAAGCATGCTGTCCTATGAGAGGCCCCATGGGCCAAATTTTACAAGTTTTATTGCAACGGAAGTTAACTTAAAATTTCAGTTTCTGATTGGACCCCAGGCAGGAGTAGGCGGGTTTTCACGGACAGAAAAATAGCTTAGCGTCAGCGACTCACAGAGGCAACTAATATTTTAAATGACGTCGTTAGCGCTCCTACAGTAATGTCAGCATTATCAGAAGTGTTTAGAAGCCGAGAGCCAGCGTCGGAAACCCCATCTATCAGTGGGATAAAGCCAGCCTGCACTCAAATTTAATGTGTGCGACAGCACAAGTTATGGCGCTCTCTTTTCAAAATAAAAGCGCATCTCCAGTTTATGTTTGATTCATGTTTCTCTCCTGCGGCTTTAAAAATGTAAAACTTTGTGTTAATTGATTTGCTAAAGGAAAGCATGTACCTGAAAATAAATTAAAACATATTATGTGGGCAAAAAATTCTGTAAATCACATATGTGCTCCCTCTATTGTATGTGGTGCTGTTCAGTTAAGTATCAGTGTTCACTGTAAAATATGCTTAACAGTGATTTTTCTTTCTTTTTCTTACAGTATCATTGTATTGATCCCGCCGCGTCTCGGGCTGAGATACAAACCAGTGTGCACGAGGCCTTCAAGCTCTGCTTTCAGGCCCTGGAGCGCTAGGGGAGGCTGTCCAGGGCTTCTGACCAAAAGGCAGGGCTGCTTCAAGCCAAAGTCGGCAGCCTTAAAATCAAAATTGAACAATTGAGTTCAAAAATAGAAAGTTTGGAAGTTGCAGCAGCTTTTTATGCTGACGGTAGGTATATTTATACTATATCATGTTAATTAAAAGTTTTACTTTTGTTTTGTATTTTAATTAACGTATTTTATAATGGTACACGAGGAGGTATTTGTAGTTTATACACAAATGTTTTCAGGTGATTGTGCTTTTTTGTTCCAAAAGCAAATAGAAAATATTGCGTAAGGAAACAGAGTTATTAGCAGCGAGGTTTGAGTTCAAACACTATAAGTTTTGAGACAAGGTTCCTCGCACAGTTGGGTTAATTGTTTTTCTTTAATTGTCCTTTGGTGTGTCTGCATGGTTTTCTTTTATATCCTTGATGCCTTGTGACAGACTTACCCATGGTGTACTGTCTCTGTTGCTAATTTGCTGGTGCAGATAGCCACCAGCACCTTTCCTGAACCAAAGATGGATTAAAGGAAGTCAATACATTTTTTAAACAACGTATCAGTATTTCTTAGTTCATGTCATTTACTATATTCAGTTTGAAATGCTATATGCGTTTGTTTTATGTTGAAATCTTTAAGAGAAAATTGATGCCGTTACTCAAACCGAAGAAGAGCAACCCATGGAAGAAGAAGAAAATATGAGCTGGGCCGATGATAATAAATTTTTTTAAGTTCATGCCTTTTGTTTAATTTTTTTTACATTTAAAAAGTTTTAATTTTGTTCATAGTTTTTTGAATGTTTCTATTAAAGAAGAGTTTTGAATTTGTGAATGGATTAATTTCACATTTTTCTAACATGATAAAATAAGAAGACCCTTATAGTGGTTAAGATAGTCTTGTGCAAAGTTAACGTTTAAGGGAAGGACCAAATTTTGGTACAACTCTGTTTTGGTTTTGACAGCCGAGTTGTAAGGGAAGATTTTAGTTATTTTCTTGTTGTCTATTTTTACTGTTGAACTACATGGACGATGGCTAAAGGATGGTGTGAATCACCGAAGACCCAACACCAGAATCGGTTAAAGGAACAGGAGGAGAGAGAGGGATGAGGATTGTTGATAGAGATTTTTGGTACTTTCAGTTTAAAGTGTTCTCTTTTTAATGTGTGTATGAGCTGACCTGGAGGTCACGACTGTCTGTTCATCTTCATGTGA